GAAATGGTTTTATTTATACATGAGCCAACTCAAACATTCAGCCACTCTCACCACATTCTGAAGCTGTTAATCTCAACTCAATCACAAACTATCTCACACAGCAAAGTCAAAGGCAGTGATAATATTTGACTTTTCTTTCTAAATCTAAATTTAGTATCAACGCAAAACATTTTTGAACCTAAATAACACAACTAAATAAATTATTCTTCCATCATGTTCCCCCTCATTATTTGGGTAAACTCAATTATTTGAGACGCTGCAAAATATGTCTGTAACACACAAGTTTTTTTCTTCATTTCAAAAACCCAAATTACAAGATAAAGAAAAAATAAATCTTTGGTTTATAAAATGTTTTAAGGTTTGACCAGCTACTAAACCCAACTGAGTCTTCCTGAAATGATTCTGTTAGTGGTTCTGGATGAATCCTCAATAGGTCTTCCGATTAGTTTTTTACCTAAAAGAGACTCACTGCTGGTCCATTGCAAGTAACAACCAGAAAATGGGAAAATGTGTCTGACTCAAACAATGTACAGTTGACAAAATAAAAGAAAAAAATATGAAGAAAATAAAGAATCAGGGAAAAAGCCTGAAATGATTCACTTAGCGTAACTTCTGTTCAATCTTGAGAAGCAGGGGTTCGTGAAAACTTTTCCTGAGCTAGAGAGGTCAAATAGCTTTGGAGCTGTTCAGGGTTGAGTGAGGAGATAAATGACTTCAGGAAGGAGGATTTCGAATGATTGACTGACGCACACTCTCCATTCTGTCCGAGTTCTCCAAGGCTCTTTTAAGACCAGGTATAACTTTCATCCTGAGAGATCTGCTCACAAGTGAACAGCGTTGTCTGTTCATACCTGACACTAAAATGTGTCCTTAATGTCTCATCACCACTTAAGATCAGATCTCACGTCCCTGCTGTATATTCAAATAAAAATGTACGTGATTTATGTTTGCGGAGACCAAATTGTGTTGTTCTTACCCAGTTTGAGTGTGTGTCAGTAATAGCAAGAGACAGACATCGAGATCGATAGAGAAAGCGAGTGGAGTCAAGATTTTTTGAATTTAAGAAGAATATGAGTCATTATCTGTTTATCAGTGTTGATATTGGGACTTGGGAAACAAGTCGTAGACGGAGGACACACTTACATTCTCACAGTGGCCACAGACCACCTCCGAATTTGGTGGGCGTGATCAGATCTCAGAACATTGGGGTGTTTACCCCTGAAACTTAGCGCTGACCACTTGTGATCGCCGCTCTCAGGACGGATGTTAATACTGATGTGAGTCACAGGCCTTGCTGGCTGCACCCTGACATCAGTGATTATTCACTGAACAAATGAACTGAAGGCTGTTGGAGCTGTTATAAAACAGGATCAGGCCATTCACTTGATAGATTCAAACTGCTGTCGTGCTGTGCCTGTCAATGAGAGGCAGCAGGACAGAATGAAATCAGCTTCACGATAAAGGCTGCATCTGTGTTTTTAAGACGCTTGTGATGAACTCAGAATACAAATGACTAAGCATGTGGTGAATCTTAGAACATGATCTGCAACAAAAAGCAAAGTATTCCATCATGAGGAATATCACTGATGTACAGCACCATTTAGAAATAATGTTAATTTTCAATATCAAAGATGTGAAGGGCAAGAAACGGAGGGGAAACGGAAATGGGGGAAATGCCACAGCAGACACAGCACAGCATGCTGAGAAAATACAACATCTGGACGAAAACAGTGGTCCGATACATTTTAGACAGTTACAGGATGTGTCCGCTTGTGCTGTACAAACATAATGAAATGAAAATCAACTAGGCACTGCTGCTCTGACAGTTTAGCGTCAACATTTGAAACTGATGAGAAAATGAAAACTTGTGCAATAGACAAACTATGATTAACAAATTTCAAGGTCGTTAAATGTACTGATACATTTCCTTGAAGGGCCAATCTTATTATTTTTACAATAATAATGCACAGTCTATCAGGAACCTGTTCAATCTGACGCAGTTTACACGGACACCTAAATTCTGGAAATTCACCTTAGTCTGAATAAGACATTACTTTGATTTTCATGTTGACCTGAGTCACTCATAAAATATTCAATACATAATAGTTTAATGTACAGTGCTACCGTTTGTTACCATTTTAGGTGTTTCCTTTCTATTTTTGCAATAGCTACAAATGTTGATGTCGCAAAATGCTGTGAAAACTCCAATAAGACGTTATACTGCAATCAAGATGTATACATGTCTAGATAATGTGACTAAGGATGGAATACTCCATATCTTAATTCAAAGATTACTTATTCCGAGAATGACTTTATTCGGGTTAAGGTAATCGTAAAATGCTGGTTACGGTAGTGTCTTATTCAGACTATTTGTTGAGTTGGGTTGTTACCCAATATTTTAGCCTCGTTGTCAGTGACAAAACAGAACTGCTTCCTTTTCAAGAACTATAAGATGATGACATCTTTTTAAAACTAATTTTTACTGTAAGAGCATGTTGGGACTTACAGGAGGCGGGAAGCTTTATTACTTCTACCAGCGTGCGTGTGTTTGCGTGCGTGTGTGTGTGTTTTTGGTTGGCAGGGCTCTCAGGCTGTCTTCTTACAGACGTGGATGAAGTAGCATGGAGCCTGGGTCTGGCCGGGGACATATGTCTTGAAGTCTCCGTAGACGCTGTGCTCCATTTTGCCGTTGAAGGCCTTGGTCAGCAGCCCTTTGAAGTTCTCCAGACGGTGAGGGTAGTAGGACAGACGAAATTTACTGGGCAGGACAAACAGAGCACACGTGTTACTATTCCCACAACCATTCAACAAATGTTCGCTGCGCTGTGTCTACCACGTCTGGGAGACGAGTCCCTCGACCTTGACTGTGTGGGATTTCACACAAAAACAAAAGAGGGTCATCACAGTGAAACTACAACAGTACACTGTCCCACAAAGAATATGTTCCAACACAAACACAGGTCATCCCTTTGTATCACTTTATACAAGCAGTCTGCACAACACTGGATTTATCTCTGCCCACAAGGTTCTGTTTTCATTGCTGTTTGTTTGTTTATCTGCCTTTTCAAAAAGACTTTCATTCAAAAACTCCATTTATCTTGAGGTTAACCATGAAGGAACGCATTAGCTTTTGGTGCGAATCCAGATCAGCGATGTTTTTCTCTTTCTAAACATTGTGAGATGGGGAGTCTTTTGACATTTTCCCAGATTTCCCAGGAAAATATGCATGTACCTTGACAGAAAAAAAAAAGTAATGTAAAATGAGGACGTATTAAGAGGACTGATATCTATGAGTGTGTGCAATGTGGTGCAGTTTGACTGAATTTAAAGGTCCAGTGTGTAAGATTTAGGTGAAAGAGATCTATTGACAGAAATTTAATGTAGGATAATCCTCATGATGTTTTCACTAGTTCGTTTCATCTAAATTGTATGAATTGTAGTTTTCTTTACCCTAGAAAAGGTCCTTTATATTCAAATAATTAATATTTACTAGGGGACCCTCTCTACAGAGGCCGCCATGTTTTTTAACATTAGTCTACATCTAGGCTACCACAGGTTCTTTTTCCTGTTTGGAAGGAGAGGGTGAGGTGAGGGGTGTTCAGCTGCAACATGACACTTCAACACTAGATATCACTAAATTCTTCACACTGTACCTTTAGGGGAACAGTCGGGTCTTGGCAGAGGTACACGCTCTACTGACTGCCATTCTATTTGATAACAATCTTTCATTTCTAATTTAAATGTCTAAGTTTGGCTAAAGAGGCACCAATTTCTTTGATATACAAGATATAACATTAAACAAAAACAGAATATCTGTCATAGATGCTTCATGTGACAAGTTACTTCAGGGTCATGTATCTGTCTCCGATTGTATACAGGGTTGTCACTCTCTTACGAGTTTGTCTCACAGTCGTTATGGCTGACATGTCGTGAGTCAGGGTTTGTGTCACCTGCTGAACATGTTAAAATCCTCTGTGCTTGTTACGTCATCTCGTGTGTATTTGTGTAAACTTTATAAACTCTGGTCTCACGTCTGTTCGTCAGCCAAAGTTCGATCTTCTAATCCAACCTTCAGGACGAAAGGGATTTGTGTTTCCAAATGTTCATACTGTACATGCAGTTGCAGTGCTGATGAGATCTACTGATCAGTCACAACATAAATATTTGATAACTGTTTGAGTCATTCCGTTCTGTATGCACAGTATTTGACTGCTACTCAAGTAGCTTGATGACGTCTCCTTGAATTTAAGCATCATTTTTTTAAGCTATTTCTGGACCTAAAGATTAATTGGTTAATCAAGAAAATCTTTGACGGATTAATGAATTTTAACCTTTGACATTTAAATCGTATTTCTTTCACATTAGCTTTAAAGTGAGCGTTCCAAAATCTGAGCAGAGCGACCGGCCATACCTGACTTCAGGGAGATTCTGTTCGGTGGCCTGGGGCACTTGGATGGTGTAATCCAGAGTGATCATATGAGGCTTACTGTTGACCCACAGCACTGAGGTGGAGATGTCCTGAGTGAGATCACTCTGCAACACAACACACACATGATTATACAGCACGCTGGTGAACAACACTTCAGTGACGTCCAAATGTGAGCAGTTAATTAGAAGTGACTCAACAACACCAGGAAGCTGCTCTCACTGTTGTGGAGTGTTGAGTTGGACCATGAGAGCAGACCCTGGGATTATGGGGGAATCAGAAATGGATTTGACTCTAACACGTGACTGTTGAATTAGTATTTAAACACAGGCATTCCAGCTGGATAGTCCTTGCTTTGGCTGGATTTAAGAATATGGTTCGTGTTATGAGGAATATAATGCTAATTGAAAAAGGCTCATTTCCATCAGCGCCTGCTGTTACGTCTCTGTCGAGGTTATTTATGTAAAGTTCAGATGTCCAAATCATAAAGTTTATGATAACAGAAAAAAAGACAAACAGTGCAATCCCTGACATACTGTTTGTAGCACAGTTACAATCTGATATGCATATACACCACAACATGAACAACATATGAAAAATAAATTAACACATGCTGTGGATGATCCATGTAGTTTACCATCTTCCAAAATGAATTTTTATAACTCAGTACTTCAGACATCATCTGTTTTTCAACACAGTTTGTACTGACACCTCACAGCAAAAAGGGTCATGGTTCAAATCCCCATTCGTCCGAGGTCTTTCTATGTTGAGTTTGCATGTTCAAACTTTATCTGTGTTGGTTTTCTCTGGTTTGGTATTTCATGCACATCTCCTTCTGTTTCATCCGTGGCAGTTTCATTGAAAATCCCGTAATATCCGGGAGGCTCTGGGTGAAGCTTTAAGGTCTTAAACCCAGCTGCTGCTAGTGATGGTGTCAGTAAACCATTCCTAAACACTACTGTCTGTCAAACTCCTCCTTACAGAGAAAAGAAAAAAAGTTTAGATTTGTATGTTCTCTTCAGGCTGATGGTTTTTGTCTTTGAATACTTTCTTACTTTTACGTTTGAGCAGATAAAGTAATAATGGTCATGTTATAGTACCTTGTAGTAAATGTTTTTGCCTTGTGGCGCCTTCCCAGTCTCAAGGATGTAGTCGTAGTTACGATGGTCAATGATGAGGATCCCACCTGGTCTGACCATACTGGCGATGTTCTGAAGGGCCAGCTGCTGGTCACTCTGGTCCCCTGAGAGCAAAACAAAATCAATAATATGATCAATTACAAATGAATCTTTCACCCTGCGGTGTTGATGGAGTGTATCAGCACACACATCACTGATGGGTGTGGTCAAATGTGCAACAGACTTGAATCCTTCACATTTTGCTCACGCACCTATTATCAATGAATTTTAAATTACCAAACATTAAATTAGTGATTGAGAGATTATGTCTGTATCTTACCGATCAAATTCAAAAACAGGATGGAAGTTGGTGACTGTACCTTTAAAGTCTGGCAAATGGGCAAATGAGTTGCCCAGGCAGATGACCGCGTCGAAACCATCCCCTGGTTTCTGAATATCTTCTGATAACGACAGCCAGTTGGCCTCTTCAATAACTACAGAGAAGAAGGAAACCAAAGGAAATATATGTTCGATTTCAAAAGTTTTGAACATTCAAAAGTCGCAATTCAATCTCGACAATATAAAACATTTCATACCCCACTGATCAAAAGCTTGCTCTTTTCTTCTGTCCCATCTTGCCTTCAGCGCGTACTTCAGCATTTTGTCACTGGCATCCACACTCACCATATTGAAGCCCTCCTCCACCAGCATGATGGAGTCCACTCTACAAAAAAAAAGGCTCCGTAAACACAAGTGTTGTTCTACAAATAGAAAAACAGTTTAACCTCACAAGCTCAGAGAAAGAAGCACTTGTGTGTTGAATCCTGCAACAGGAGTAGAAGTTTTTAAAATCCACTGGACAGACAACCACAAACCTTGGTGAAAGGATGCAGAAGAACAAAGTCAAATTTGGTGCAGATCTGGATAAAGGGGATGATGCAGGAATCACTTTTTTCACTTTCTTTAACATTAGCAGAGGTTTTTCTGTCCTTAAAGTGTGCAAACAAGTCAGTTACATTCTCAACCAGTGTTCACTACCAGCGCACCTCCAACCATCATTCATCTATACCAGTGGTTCTCAAAGTGGGAACCCCCAGGGGACCATGGTCCATCGCTTGGAGGTTCTTGCAATGATTTGCAATCAATTGAAAAGTTAAGCCACATCAGAGAGCACCATTAAAACAAACACATTGTTCACAATAAGTCCCACCCACATTAGCTTTGGACAAATACAAATTCTGATATGAATGTGACACATCACCTAAGTTTGTCTTAATCCACCCACTTCCTTCAGGTGGCACCTGCATGCCACTCCTGCTGCTGCCAAGCTTAGTAGCCAGCTGACTAGTGACCATGGATAAATATTTAAGTCAGTCACACCATCAAGTGATGCAAAGCCCAAACCAGGTAAAGTGGGAAAATATTATGACAGTTATCTTGACTTTGGTTTTATCGAGAGCAGCTACTGAAGACTGTCTAAGCACCAAAATGAATACTCCCGTTCGAAAACACAGATGGTGGTTACCATTTGAATTACTTGAAAAGCAGAAATCCAGTCAAGTTGAAGTATTTAGTTTGAAAGGTTTTAGAATGCAAAGAATTTGTGTGGCATCTAGGAGCACAAATGGCCGTAAGCATACGTTTTATCAGCACTAGAAATATGATAGGGTCCTTGGCACATTTTCTCCCCTATAAGGGGCCAGTGATCCTCTGAGGCAATCCCAGCTGCCAATGGGCGAGAGGTGGGGTACAGGGAGAGGTGAGGGGGCTAACCACTGCAACACCATGTTAACACAAGCATAACTGGGGTGACTTATTCTAACAAACATCATTTGCTCATTGGCTGGTGACTGCAAACTATGTTTAAACAAAGAATGTTGTCATAGACCTTTCATCATCAGTCTGGACTCAAGTGAAATGGTGAAATTTCAGAAGTGCTTTCCAAACAGTAACTAATTGTGAGTTGTGTTACACAATAATCAAAATTCAAACAACAGAATCACATGGAGGCAGAGTCCAAGGAAAAACACCTATCAGAGCAAGATTTGTGGGATAATGAGCTAAAAAAAGCTTCTTTTTTTTTTTTTACTACAATCATTAACAACAAATGGGTAACTCCAGGATAATATTCAACTGCAAATAAACAGCTTGTATGTTGTATGATGAGCAATGACAAATGCAGAGTATGATCTTATGAAGCGCACGTTAAACCTAATGCTTGATGTTACGGCACAGCTAGTAAAAGAGCTTTATGATTCACATGCAACTGTGCAGCAAACATCTGAAGGCAAAACAAAAAGTCCTCTATGGTTCCACTTATACAAGTCACGGTGATCAGGGTATAACATGCACTTTTGCATAAGTTGCTGCTTGTTGTGGTGACAGACCTGGAAAGCCTGGCATCAGATGCACACTTAGCCAAAAATAGCAGTGCTGTTTGTAACCCCATTCCACTATGATCGTGTTTACATCACCCAAGATGGTCGTGCTACAGAGACATGCTATGCTACCATGTAACAGGGTCAAAGTCAGACTGTGGTGTTGAAAGAAGGGCAAAAATATTACTATCTCAGAAATACTTATCGGTCAAAAGGTCGACCCTCATCTTTTAGATTATAGTGTTGCATCTCCTGCACAACGTTTCAAAGATAAAGCCAGTTGAGGATAACAGGGGTAAGGGGGGCTTGGCAGGGGGGCTAAAGTATGATGTGTTCTTGTCTTGGGTTCAGCCAATGGCCTTGATGCTGTCCCAGATCCCTGATACACTATCAGTGGAAGTAAACACGCTGCAGGGAACCAGTCAAAACCCACTGCAACAAGTCGGCACCAGCTGCACAACCACTGAACCCTACATGTGCTCTTCTGCAAGAGACGGCTCGCTTCCTGCTTTGCAAACAAAACAGTTCACCCCCAACCCCCAGCTCTCACTCAGTGGCCCTATGTGGGGTAGAACAAATGTGGATAACTGGTGGCAGAAAACGTCACAAGAACAGCTGCACATCCACATGAGCCTTCCACGTTATTACATGGGAGAACATTTTAGAAACTTAATAAACTTGTGATCCCAGCTCCCAGATCGCTGCAGGAACTGGAACAGTGGCTTGTGCAAGTCTGCACTTTCTTTCATTACTCTCTGACATAATCCGGATTTTTGTCTGGGGTGAAACAGGGTCAGTCGGCTGGAATTCCACAAAAGTCAAACCAAACTATTTGCGTTAGAGGATACATAACTTACATCAAGTAAGTTATATATTTATATATAAAATATATTTGTATCATTCTTTATTCATTTGTTATTGGGGGCTTTTCTCAATGCTGAATTATCACATTGTGCATGTGGAAATGAATGAAATATTGCAGTTATGACAGCATTTCATATTTGACAATATTCACATCCTGCCCTACCAAATCTAATTTTATAATTACACTGTCAGGTCACACCCTTACACAAACCTGGTGGTTGCAGAAATGCACATGATTCAGAAGGGTTGGATCTAGGCCTTCAGGCTGGTGAACTAAAAACATGTTAACTGCATTTAAAAGTGCAACTAATGGAATCAAAACAGAGTTGGCATTTTATTTTAAAGACGAATGACTCTTTGGATGCTAGAGATTTAGGCAATGCACGTGATATTCAACCGGCTGTGTTGTATTTGTTGTTGTACACTGATGTACTTTAAAATGATGCAACGTTGAATGGGGTTTGGTGAGACGTTCACTGCCCTAGTAAACCGTGCCAGTGTGAAAGTGCTGAGTCGGCCTCATGTTACCCGGTTCCGCAGGCGACATCCAGCACCCTCCGCACCCCCTGCTGCTTTAGCAGGGACACCACCCAGCTCTTGTACTCCTGCGTCCGGCTCTGCGTGTCTCCGATGTACAGCTGCCACACTTTGGCCGCTTTGCCGTCGGCGTACTGGTCAGGGAGACCCTCGGCGGCCACCCCGAGGGAGCGGGTCCTGAACACGCTGTCGACCGACATGATGCTGTCGCTGCTGCCGCTGTGAGTCCTCCGGGAGATTCGGTGAGCGAGCTGCGGATCGTTCTGTCCACATGCGACCCCACATCCAGGTTGTTATTATTTCTAGGCGGAGAAACTTTGATCCAATGACACACTGAGGGGACTGACGCCTACTTTCTGATTGGACGGGAACGGAGAGACCGCCTCCGAGTTAATGTTTACGTACAGGAAGTGGAACTTGTTTGGTTTTTTCAGGATAAAACGATCGTTCCGTGTTGGATTAAAAAAAACAATTAAATCGTTTTTCACAGTTTTAAATCATGTGATTGCTGTTTGGATGAACATTTTACTTCACTGACTAAATGAGAACATCCTGCCTGGTGTTGCCACCACCAGGCAGGATGTCCAAATCCCTCCTCAGCTCATCCTGCACATCACCATTCAAATATTTCCTGTAGCCTATATTAAGATTGCTTAAAAGTGTGAATTACATTTTTAAACAGTGGTTTCCCTTTATTGCTGATTTTATTTGCGTATATGATAAAATAAGAGGCCCAGTCCATTCACAATAGCCTGCATGCATTTAAAATGACCCAATACCACAGGAGCTGAGTCTTAATTCAGGGGCTACATCATAGACTGTATATAATGTATATATGCTACATCCTTCAAAAGAGCGTGGTCTACCCGGCCCATGAAGACTGCGTCGGCAAAGGCCGACCAGAAATGAGATGTTCTGGTCTACAGTGGCTTTCCGTGATCAGCTTCACCAGCTCATCCAACCCTTATTGCTGTTGCCTAGCAACAGAGCTGGAGTTGGACACAGTTAATGCCCCTTGGTTTTTCAACATTTGTACCCTTCTTCTATTTGCTTGATTTGAAGCCTGATGTTGGAGAATTCATTTCTCAGGGATGGGAGGATACATTTGAGCCTTCTTAGATAATACAGTCACACAGTATTGTGAAGAGGAGACAGGTAATGGTTGGGGTTAGTATAAGTTACATGTATGGGGTCATTCATAATCTGCTCAAGATGGCTGTTTATGAATGACCTTTCGAGAGAGGAGTTGCCTGTAAGACTTTACTCAGTGACTCAAATGCTCAGACTATGACCAGTTCAAACAAGTATCATTTCATCATAAAGGTGGTGACACAGCTGGATGGGTAAAAGTTCTGCTTAACCAATCATTTATTTGTTATTTTATGCAACAGCAATAACTGCTCTTTTCACAGTATTTTTCCTTAATTCATCGTTTATATATTGTTGTTCGAGAACTCACCAGCAACTATGACAACAATCTAATTCCATGTGATTGTATTGGATTTCATAGGGATCCTGAGTCGGATTAATAAATGACAAATTGCTTATATATCATAGAAATTGTCCACACATATAGATATATATTAGATTGGTTAAATATCCGACTTCAAATGAAATATGAGCAACATGAAAGAAAACTCTGAGAGCCTGTCACCGACACATCTGGCCAAAAAACACTGTGTCTATGTTCCCTCCCATAAAGTGAACTCCTCCTGTTGTGATTGGCTGATAAAGTTCACAGAGGGCCATCTTTGTTTACTGGCACAGGTGAGGTAAGAGTGCGTCAACCACAACCGGTGCCAACCAGGTTAGTTTTGAACCACCCAGCTTTACTCAACTCACTTGCCCTGCACACACTAACACAAATTCTCTCTCTCTCCCTCACTGTGTTTGTGTGTGTGTGTGTGTGTGTGTGTGTGTGTGTGTACAAAGGCAGGATCAGGTCAATACTGAGTTCAGGTACTATCAGTAAAATGCATGCATATCTCTCTGGTAACATCTAGTGGTTTCTGCATAAAACTACAAGATGTACACACGTACCATGGAGTAATACTGAATTGTATTGTCTGTTGATTTGTTGTGGCTTGATTAATTGTTGTGCACTGTTTATATAGAGAGCTTAAATCTGGAATAGATGTGGAGGGTGATGTACAAAATGGAGGAGGCAGTGGAGGAGGCACCAGAGACAAGTGGAGCAACATCAAGTCTTTCACCTCTACTGACTTTTGTATAGGGAGTATGCGAATACCTTCAAACATATTGCACGTCATGTTAAATTTGTTGATTTGTTGAAACTTGATTTTTAGAAAAGTCGACAGCCCTAATTCCTGAAACAACACCTGAAGTCTCTGTCCAGAAGAGCAAAGTCCTAGGAACAGCTCAGACACTGGGCCGAACCCTCGAGCTCCCAGGACTCCGCTGGAGGAACCAAGCTTGAGGAACACATGTACACTACTGGCCCCATGAGGGTCAAAGGGATTTTTTTTTAGATATATTTATAAAAGTCTTCTCTACAGTTTAGTCAGACTGTCAAATCATTTACTTATACATGAACATAATACAGGAAGGGAAACTAAGACACATTTTCAGATCTGTTGCTTTACTGTCTACAGATAAAATATCAAATTAAACACCAGGATGCAAAGTTATTAAGCACATATGTGACTCCCTGATAACAGTGTGTTGAATATAAATAAATAATAAATACAATTGAAATAAAAAGGTGAAAGTCTTCATTACCATATGAATCACTTCTGGTTTGTTTGGACTAAGTTATCCTTTCAAAAGTCCATGAGTCATTTTATTTTTCATTTTGTCTTCCACTTGTCAACTTTTCTTCATAAAACTGGTTGTTTACAAAACAGTTTATTCAACAGGAAGCTACTTAAGTTACTTTCAAACTAATACTAAAACCAACACAGACCAGTGACTGGTGATACCTTTTACTGCAGTGTGTTGAACAGAACGGTAGATGGCGCTCTAAGAGCATGCATGATGAAGGAAAAAGAGATGTTTGAATAATTCTGATTTTAATTCTATCACCCTCTGTGTTCCAGTTAAAGAACATGTATTTCAATACTCCAAATTATAATTACATATTATTTGTTACATATCATATTATATATTACATATAAGTTTAATAGATATACACACATACAAATGGTTACTCTATTTAAGTGCCAAAAGAAACATGGCACATAGATTTCACTTTATTCAGCTCCTTTTCATAATACAGTGTATTTGTAACCTAAAATATACGACAGTTTTAAATTAGATTGCTTATATTTATAATCATATGCTTAATCTGAATACAATCATGAATTTTCCCTGAACTTTATTGTGCATATGTGAAACTGAGAGGCCAAGTCAATTCACAATAGTGGGCACGCATTTAAAATGTATTTATGTTAACATATTTCCTCCCCGAGTTTTCACTGTGCATTTTTCATAAAATTGAGGCTAAACAGTGGACAGAAATATATCTATAAATGTTTAATCTGGTGGAATCAGTGTTAACACTCGTTATTATACACAGGAGCAGGAGACTGTTCTCTGCGCTTCTGACGCCTCACAACGTAAAACCTCACCACAAATATTAACACCACCACAGCCACAGCAGCAACAACCCATACCCAGAGAAACCCTCCAGCAGTTGCAGGAGAAGTCTTCAGGGTATTATCAGCAGCAGGTTTGGTCGAATACAAGCTGACAGGAGTCGTGGTGAAAAAACTCTCTCTGTCTTTGGCTTCGATGCATTGGTATTTGCCTTCGAGCACAAATCCTTCCGAGCAAGTGCACTCGAAATCTCCCAAAGTGTTTTTACACCCGTGATCACAACGGCCATTCCCACATTCATCGATGTCCTCACAGAAATCCTTGTCTATGATGTAGCCATCAGGGCAGGAGCACACTGCCCCGTCACATATCTTGGGGCATCTACTCTTGTCACAGTGCATTTTACACCGCCTGGGGTCTTTGCTGTCTGGGATGTATCCTGAAGAGCAAGAGCATTTATAACCTCCTTTCACGTCCGTGCATTTGTGCTCACAAGGGCCTGTTGAACAGCCTTTAGAGCTTTGGAAAACAGTTGGATCTGATAATTCCTGTGCCAGGCACGCGTCTTTGTGCTGTGTTCTGCACAGATATCCATCAGTTTCCTCTGAGCACAGTCTCTCTGTCCACTTTTGATCGTTTGAAAGTGACACACAGTGAGGAAAGCAGACTTCGGTGCTGTGTCTCCAGGTGTCGGGGGATGGGATGAAGCTCAGCGTGCTACCAGAGATCCACTCATAGCCTCTGAGTGGAGATGAGAGGTTGCTGCATGCTCCAGTTGGTAAACGCAGTCCGATCCAGAAGTTCCCAGACAACTCCTGACTCAAAGTGTGGAGGATGCTCTCATCTGTCTCAGGACGAAGCGTCAGTAGTTCTCCGCTCCTATCGCGACATGCTGCCTCAGCTGCTCTGAAGTCCACTCTGTCCTGGTTAACAGTAATACAGTCCCCACCAGTACAAACAAGCCTACAGATGCCTGCCTGCTTCATTCCACACTCTGCCTTAAAAGACAATAAAACAATAATGGACATTAAAATAATCATTGTCATTGTCAGAATCTAGAAGACAGTGATGTCGCACAGAAGATCATCCTATAATGTAGCCGGACTAAAGGCATTGGCAACTTAGATTCGGTGTCAGGTTACTCAGGAAGCTACACCCCTCTGAGTTAAAGACAGGAAGGAACTGAGATAAACTTCGACTGCAGGGTTCAGTGAGTCTGTGAATATAGAGACAGATTCATATTCCAGATCACAGATCTTTATTTTAGTTTTTCATCTCATAACATGACTTCATATTATACAACATACACAGGTTTGATGGTCAGCATGTATTCATCTTTGCATCCTCTTGATTTTACACCAACACATTCACCTGTGTAACCTCCAATCAGAAAGTAATACGTGTTTGATTGTCTTTGGGTATAAACGTAAATGCATATTTACAAATTACTTCATGTGTTGTCACTATTCTGAACAACATTTCAGTTGTAAATAGAAACATTATAGATTATAACTATTAATTTTAGATTCAACTTCTACTGTCACCTCAACCAGCTACAGCAGTAATGTACTGCTTACATGATAATGCTTTAGTGAGAATGGCCAATCAGATGATGATATAACAATGACAGGGAGATTCCTCCAAATATAAGCATTTTGACAAAAAAGTAAATATAACATCTCATATGAATTTGAGGCACATTTTCATTTTGTTAAGTGCAATACAAATAAAACCTGTTATTGTAATGCTGTTATTATTTCTTGTAATAATTCTTGCTCATACCTCTATTCTTATTTACAATGTAACATTTTTTTAATTGAAGCTGCTTTTCCTTCAGTAAAAGATTAGATTGATTCTCCCACCACTGCTTTATGATATGAATTAAAAAGCTTGGACATACTGTGTCCATCATCTGAATAATGCCACTGTTGCTGGGCTGGGAGGGGACCACAGGCTTAGGGAACAGTACACACATTATTTAACCATGTAAAATAGCAGGAAATGTGGCTGCTGATGATGAGACATACTTCAAAAGAAGCACACTGATCTTGAAATTGAATTAAGTCATCTCAGTTAAAAACATATGTACATTTTAACCATGTCAGAAAAGAAACAGGAAACACCCAAAGCAATCCATCAGATCTCTACATACAGTCAGTCTAGCAATACAGAGCCCCTCACATCTCCTTTAAAGCAAAATCTGCATGTATTTACATATCGTGTTTTTTATGTTTTTCTTTTTACCCCACTTGTTTCCTCTCGATATGGTTACTTCTCTACGTCTTTTTACCTGTGACCCAGGATTAGATTCTGATTTGTGATCTGATATGTAATCATTTGATATCAACATACAGCCTAACTTACATAGCTTGCAAAGACATAAATTAGATAAATAAACATTGTGCATACTCCTCCGAAACCATGAGGTCATAGGTCATCAGTGGAGATGGACTCGTAAAGTTTCTCTAGACGTGGATCTAGACCCGATGACACCCAACAGTAACCATCTGTTGTTGTTTTCTTCTTGGCTTCTTTTTTGGAGCGACTGCATCGAAATATTGCGATAGCTAACGTCACTGTGACGAGCACGAGCAGAGGGATGACTGAGCCGAGGACGCAGATTATGACCTTTGTGTTGACCGTCTTAACAAAGCTCGGCGTCAGGGACACGTTGCTCGGCTGTCCGCTGTGTGTAACGTTCACCAGGTCTGGAAGTGGTGGGTCAGTGTGAGGGGACTGGTGCTGGAGCTCCACTGTGGTTCTCATCAAGGACCAGGTGAAGTTCTCAAGTGTCCCCCCAGAAGCTGGCTCACCTGATGGAGCGGCTGATGTTTCAGACATATCCGGAGCGCAGGTTGATCCGTCAGTCTCCAGATGGAAGCCCCATGGGCACGAGCAGGAGAAACTGCCGGCAGTGTTGATGCACATGAACTGGCAGCGACTACTGGTACATTCATTTATGTCTACACATAACTGACCATCCGGGGATAAAGTGAAACCCTCATTGCAGAAACAGGAAAAAGATCCAATATTGTTCAAGCAGTCGTGCTCACATCTTGACTGTGCGCACTCATCCACATCAGTGCATTTACCGTCAACCATTTCATAGCCGTCTTTACACTCACATGTGTAGCTTCCCTGTGTATTTACACACAAATGATCCTCACAGGCTTGGGACTGACACTCATCGATGTCAAAGCAGTTGCGCTGGTTTTCATCCAGTTTGAACCCATATGGACATTTGCAGGAATATCCAGACTCCTCCATCACACACAGATGCTCACATGTAGCAACGCTGCACGGGTCTTTCTTCCTGCAAGAGAGTCCATCCTCGTCCAGGTCGTAACCTTCTCTGCAAAAACATTTAACTTCCCCTCCATTCTGATGGCAGGTATCTTCACATCCACCATTATTCACTGTGCAATTCTGCTCTCCTGTTTTGCAAAATGGACCAGGGACTGTCCATTGATAAGAGTCGTCTGACCCCATGCACACAGAGTAGTGAAACTGTTGGTTACTGCACATAATTTCAGCATAGGTTCCCAGTGGAAATGATTTCATTTCACTTTTTTCTGGCCTTTCTGAAAAGGGTGCTGTGTAGGTTATTTCCCCAGACCCCATCAGAGCCAAAGGTTTGCACATTCCCTTAAAATAAAACTTGCATGCATAGAAAGCGAGACTTTTGCAAGCTCCAGCTTTCCACTTCAGTTGGTTCTGACCCACTCGCATGTAATTAACCCTCACACATCTCTCTGTGCAGGTGGAGATAGGTTCTTCTCCCCACTTGGAGTACTCGGATTCTTCCTCCCCTGATATCCACTTGAAGCCCCTGAGAGTCTTGTCAGCCAACACACAGTCCCCTCTGTTCAGTTTTAATCCAATCCAAAATTTCAGTGTCCTGTCCTCACGTCCTTTGATCTGTGAGAGAAGCATGCGCAGCACATCCTCTTCTTCTGGGTCTCTGATCGTCATCAGATAACCTCCGTTGTGGTCACAGTTCTCTTGGGCCGTCGCAAATCTCACATTGTCCATATGCAGGGTGAAGCAGGTGTTAGACGTGCACAGAGTCTCATGGTCATCTCCAGATAAACCTCTCACGCTGTGGATGAGCTGCAGTAGAAAAATCCACAACATAGTTCTCAAAGTGATAAACGAAATAGCTGATATCCAGAGGGTCCCTGCGAGTTTGGGGTTAAATTAGACTATATGGTCGTCCATTCGTAGCCCAAAAAACAAGTGGTATGGGTCTGAGACTAACCGTCAAGCTCCAGTTTCCTGTTTGCAGCGCAAACCAAAGACGGAAATCATGTTTAGCAGCAGTCACAGGTCCTTTCTTTCTGCCCCGCAGACCAGTTCCGCTTTTGAGCACATAACAATGGCAGGCTCCGCCGTGTTATGACTGGTTCTCCAGATGTCTCCGGCCCCAGCAGGCTCCAGGCAGTTGAGCTGACTCCCTTAATTGTGGTGCCTCACAATACATGAACATGCAGGGGTCAGAGCCTCAGAGACGCAGTGACATTACAAAAACTGCTGCAGAGAATGAACCCATGACGTACACATTATTATTTATATTGGTAGTGTTAATATGATAATCATCCATAAATTGTTTATTACCTCATGTTTGTACAGGCATGTTAGAGTTTAATTTGTGATGTTACTGCCTTTAATGTTGTGATCAGGAGTAAAGATAAAAAACCTTTTGGTTAATTTCTGGGAGTGCCTCTTATAGTATAATAAAATATGAGGGGACTGCACACAGAGTGATACAGAACCTTCCTTGTGGGAATTATAGTATTTGGAGTCTCTCTATATATATATGAATACACTTTGTAAAATAATGTTTAAATGTTCACTCACACCAAAATGTAAAATCTTGGGCAAACTACAATTGAATTTTCCAATGAAAAAAACATACATCCAAAACTTAATGTATAGATACACTTTCCAACCATTATGTGAATCAATGCTTTGACATTCAGACTGTGAGATTCCTCTCTTTTGTATTCTTCTCTTCGGCAGGACTGAAACAGCAGCTATGAGCGGGAGGATAACTGATTTACAATGAGAGTTCACACTGCAACATAGACACATTTCTGTGAAATTGTGTTTTCTGTGTGTACTCTTTTGGGTGCAATAAGCGCCAATGGCATTCATGTGATCCAAAAAACATTTCCTGTTTTTTTAAACGCAGGAAGTACTCCCCAACTACAATCACAGGAAAGAGAGAAAGACACTCTCCAACCTTAGGTAGTAAATAGAGCCTACTTCAAAAAATGAATCTGCAGATATATTCCAGGACACAGTAAAACACAAGATGAATATCAGGTCAGGCTGTTTTTTAGAAGAAGCACCAAAGAGAACTCACACAATGACACGTTATGTGTCCAATGTTGTGTGAGCTTTTCCATACACTATCAATCAAAAGTTTTAAATAACCTTCATTTTATTATTGAAATTAACATGCTCTCACACTACTACAATTATATTATTATTATTAATAATAATAATAATAATAACAATAATAATAATCTTCATCTGTATAGCACCATTTCATACAAGAAATGCAGCTTAAAGTGCCTTGTTCAAAATAAAATAACAGATTTTAAGAAATATAGGAGAATTATGAACTCAAAGAATCGTCACCGGGTAATATGATCACAGAAAAGATTGATTTTTGCTTCTGAGTGAAGGCTATGGTTCAGAAATTCTTCTTTATGGACAGAGAATTTCAAACACTGCGAACGGCGAAACATTTAATATATCTGTGGTAGTAATACTTATTGATAAGCACATAGGGATTTTAAAAAAGGAATCATGGGATCTAAAATTCTCAATGTAGCCTGATCTAAATTTATGACGCATTCAGCGGTCGATCACATTGTTATATTGTTCTCGTTGTAGAACTCCAGCTCCCTGTAGTACAGTATTATCCTACTAATCCATTGGGGGGAGTAGTAACTCTGTTCCAATACTGCCTTGCTACAGGCACAGGGTGATGAAATAAAGTTTGGCCTTTTCTAAACTTCATTCAAGATTCAAGATTGATATTGTCACACCAGTTATAAAAGTATACATGTATAGAGATTGAGATTCCTCTTTTTGGTCCCACACACAGCATGCAACATGCAAACATGGGGAAATTTGACCTCTGTATTTAACCCATCCATGTGATTGGGGCAGCAGTAGCTCAGTCCATAAGGATTTGGCTTGGGAACCGGAGAGTGGCCGGTTCAAGTCCAGTATGGACCATAATCATGGAAGGTGGACTGGTAGCTGGAGAGGTGTCAGTTCACCTCAGCAGTGCCCAGGAGGCCCCAATTGCTCATAGGGTGCTTTTCCTGGGGCTGCCCATCACTCTACCATCTCTCTCCATAATGTGCATGTCTTGAGCCCTCTGTGTGTGTGTGGGATTGTGGGTTAATGCATGTATAAAATGAAAAACATGAGTGTAAAAAGAATTTCCCCTTGTGGGATCAATAAAGGAAGGTTACTTACCATCCACTTGACCAAATGTCCCTCCTGGATGCAATGGCTGCTGCATGCCAGGACATCACAGCTGACAACTGCCAGGGCTGGATAAGGCCTGCCAAAAAGATGCTTCCCAAGATGCCTGGCCAGAGAAGACATCAGCTGTGATGTCGATGAAGCTTGTTCGGCTCTCTAAAATGAGGGGACAACAGGTGTTTCTCATCAAAACAGTGAGTAACCATGGCAACCCCATAGACTGACAGAGGGAAAGTCTCCTCTTTAAATTTACTAATTTCAAATTTTTCACCATGCTCTGCTTTGGCCTAGTGGTTAAGGCACTTGTACAATGTGACGTAAGTCTGGGTTCAAGACTGAGTGAGGGTGGGACATTTTGCTTCAATTTTGAAAATAAAAATAAAAATAAGCACCCCCACCCCCCCATTGTAACTGGATATTACCAGGACTATGTAATGAGCCTTTATTTTGAAAATAAAAATAAACAACCCTCCCCCATTTTAATAGAATGTTATCAGGAAGTCTATACAGAGCCTATATTTTGAAAATAATGTGACAATGACAAGACCTTACCAGGAAGCCCGAAGGAGGCTGAATTTTAAAAATGAAATGCCATGGATGGTGATAAGACCTTACAACATGGATCCTCTCTGTCTCTCTGAAATTGGTCAAGTCTCTCTGTCACCGACCTGGATCATGCATGATTATAAAATCAAGCAGCTTTTGGAAATGTCTTTCGCTCTCACCGTCTCTCTCTCTCTCTCTCTCAGGGTCTATCTCTTTCCTCTTACAGTAAACGAAATGTCTCTCTGAAATTGGATTTCATGTAAACCTGGATAATATGTGTCTCTCTGTGCGAAGCAGCAACGAGCACAAGGCACCCATTCAAAATGTCTCGGCAGGAGAGATTTTCTAGTTGTATTTTGGAAGTATGTGTCTGTGTTTGAAATTAACTGTTTGGGGTATTGTGTGTTTCAGGTGTGATGTGCGTTAACAGTTTTGAAAAAGTGTTTAAGGTTTTGACAAACGGGTCATAGCGGTTGTAAAAAACTGTAATTGATTCTTGTTGTTCTGGCTTTGTTCCCCCATGTTGGATGCACATATTGTAAGTCACTTTGGATAAAAGCGTCAGCTAAATGAAATGTGTATAGCGCTTTTCTAGTTTTGATGACCACTTAAGGATCTTTGTTGTACAAATGGAAAAACAATTACAAAATAAGAAAACTCAGTATGAAGAATTACTTACTGCCACAGGAAAGTTTTAATTTATATAGTTCCTTTTTTTGTTTTTACGTTTCCACTTGCCTGAATAACATTTTAGGTTATTAACTGGATTTGAATTCCTGAAATGTCTTCGCAAACTGTAAACATGGGGTTCAATTTAATTTGAATGTATTTAAAATCAAATCAAATCATACATTATCCTAAGGCATTTTATATATGGTGAAGCGCTTTCAATATTGTAGAGAAGTTCACCAGTTCTCACAACAAGCAAACACTGCAGTGAGAAAAAAAATCCCCATTAACCAGCAGAACCAAACTCAATGTGGTCATATGCCTCAACTGGTTTGGGTGAGCAGATTGTTCTCAAACTTTGAGGTGACAGTGTGATCACAGTGCAACTGTAACAAGTCCACTTCCAACGCAGTGTGTCTGGGGCCACAGTAAACAGGACCAACGCTTTGTGCATGATAAATAGCCATAAAGAAGATTTTAACAACCCCTTTTGCAGGATTCCAAGCTGCAGCAGCTGCAGCATTTTAACCATGTAAGGGAATTTGTGTTTATTAGGTTACTAGCTGATAAAATCTGCCATGAGCATTCATTTGCGCTAACACCAATTTAAAACTGCATACACTGCCCTTAAAAATGAAAACATACTATCGAGGAATACCAGCCGGATTAGCAACATGCCTCAGCCTCAGTAAAGACCCATTTTAAGAGGTGCCTTCACTGAGAGCATGTGGTTAGATTACACCTCTGTACACTGAACCATTGTGAACTTGAACAGGCTTGCAAATGACTGACAGCTCCATCAACATTATCAGGTTTGTTGAACCAGTCTTGGTAAAACCTAGTGGAATGTATTAATTTGACTTTAACCTTCTGAGGTAGGGCAGAAGGTAAGTTTTGATGGACTAATCCCTTCTCCGAGCACCCTTCTAATTGGTTAGTTTTCTTGTTTGTTGATTTATTTGGAAACAGGATTAAACTACACAACCTATTCTCACTGATCTTGATGGAGGGAAGGAATCAGACAAAACCCCTGCTTCAATATTGCAGCATTAGGTACAACCAAGATTTAGATTTTCCAATGTTAAGGGACTATGTTTCATATGTTTCAAGATGGAGAAAGTTTCTCTGGAAGATCAGGAGTTTGTGCAGTGTTGCTGAATTTGCATAAAAGACTGATGATTATGGATTGAATTGAGTGAAAAGGTTTAAAAGCATTGCTTGACTGAAAAACCTGGGAGGTTATGTTGGTGTAGTGTAAAGAAGATGAAGACCAAAAATAATTTAAATTTAAGTGAAAGTTGAAATATATTGGAAAATAAGAAGTTTGAACAAAAATACATTGCTTTGAAAACTTGTATAGCTCTCTCTGTGTGTTTGAGAAAGGTTACAGTAAAAGTATGAAGAAATAGGTATAGTTCAAGGAGCTGAAGGTTTTTAAAGAGTTGAAAAAAAAATCCTTAATTTCAATGGGACAATTTTGCTGAAAAACTTGAACATGAAATGTTGTCATTGTTAAGGTTAGGGTAAAGGTCTAGGGAATGCATT